CCCTGCCACAGTGACTTGTGGATCAAACTTCATAGCTTCTGACCTTGGTAGGTTTCCTCCATTCCTGCTCTAATTACTTACACCTGACATGAACACTCTCATGTTGTCTATAGCAATGGTAGGAATGAAAATTTTGACTGTACTACCATTGCTGTAACACCACACACCTGTTTGATGCCATGGAAAATAAACTAATTTAATAGAGAGGGGGTTCTATTTTCATGCAGATAGATTGAACTGAGTAGCTTAAACAATGGAAAATGCTGTAGTTTGTGCTGCAAAATTGATGCAACATCATATGGTCTTGACACTTATTAAGCGATTTTTCTTTACACTTATTTCATATCCAGAAATTGAAATCCTGCACCTAAATATTATAAGTGTTGGCTTAAATCGCATTCTCCCGGATACATGGGCAAGTGGAAGATACACTTGGGTCATGAATCTAGAGGCATCTAGGGTTGGCTAAGGTCATGTCTAATATATATAATCAGGTCAGGTAGGATTGCCTTGGAGGAATACCAAGGCTTAAGCATGATGGATCATATCAAGTAATCATGCCTGATTGTGTCAATTTAAAAGTTGGATATCCATGTGGTAAGATTAGATAAACTTAACCATGCCTGGTTTCATGATTAAGACTACTGGTGTGGACATGAATCAAGAACATGTTAGAATCTGGTTGTCAGAGCTCAATCATATCACCTCAGGAGCAATCATTGAGACTTCAAGTTAAAATCAACCTACTTTTTTATGTCTGAGATCCAAACTGTTTAAAATCCAAAATTCAGGTATAACTAGTCTGAATATATTTTGGTTGTTCATCAAGCCAATAAAAAAATGAGATACACATCACAGTTCATCTTGTTTTGTTACTACTATAAACTGAATAAAAATATATATTTCCATTAAAATTATTGTTTTCCTGTGCTTGGTGTATATGCTATAGTGTTTTTGGATGGTCTGGTACTTAAAATTTTAGGTAATGTTCAATGAAGGTGATCTTCCACTTGGAACACTAGGTGGTAATAGACTTGATATCAGGATACTATTTGAACTCTCTCATGATATCAAGGATATTGCAGGCTTATAAACCTGTGCTGGTACCACATTTGTGTGGCCTGTCGCAGACTGTCCATAATAGTCCCAAGTGTTATTAGATATTTAAGTATACACTTGCCATTGGGCAACTCTGCTAAGGAGACTGGCTTTCATCCAACACCTCCATGCCACGCCTTCATGATATCCCTCTCCAACATGCAACAAGATGTTGCAGCCATTCATCCCTCAAAGTTGAATGTGTGTGGTTATGTGGATTTGCTCAACATCAACATCCTACAAATCATTTTACTGAGGATGGTCAGTTGTTTGCTTTTGGAGAGAAGATGTTGTAGTGTCTCTGCAAGTCACATCCTAAGCGAGCCTTACACCTCTCAAAACACTGTGGCCAACCTTAAATCTTCTACAGCATCTTGCCAGGATTTGTTTTCTATCCTCTCACCATCCTAACACCTTTACAATTGCATATGATGCTGCCTGAATGTAACTTGATCAACTCCCCCACACTTCATAGGCAAAAAGTCTTCATATCCTTCTTTATTGTTCATCATCCTAGGATCCACTCACACTCCACAATAACCCCCAAGCCCTCCTGCCACCACAGTAGCAAGTCCCCATTTTTGAACTCGAGTCTTCTGGTCCTGAACTGAACTAGTTTATTCCTGCTTGATTTCTTCTCTTCTCTTGTGAAGTATAACAGAGTCAGCATACTCTGATTTATGGCATGGAGTTTCGAGGCTTAGTCTGTTTTGTGGGTCCGGCTTAAAAGTTTAATCCACCTACAAGCAGGATGTGCAGCATAAAGCACTAATCATAATCCCACTTGCTTTATGTTATATGATGCATGATGTTTTATACAGTTAAGCTTTATGTTGTACACTGCCTTTCTAATGGCTCTAACCTGCACAACATGCCTGTCTTCTTATGGTGGCATTTGTTTCTAAACCAGTATGCAGCTTCAATGTCCTCTCAGTATACCATGGATACCTCCTTTGGCTTTCAGCAAGTGGACTGACCTGCTCATTGTGTTTGGCACGAGAACAAAAAGTCACTTTGGATTACATTAACTTAGAGATAAGCAGCTAAGATTGCACCATCACAACTGGTCCACCATCAGGGCAGATTCACTGCTCATTCAGCTGCTCAACTGGTCCACGTTGGAGCCGCCGGCATCTTGGCCTTCTCCCAAATCGACATCCATCGCACCATCCTCCTGCAAGATCAAACTCAGGATACTTTATGTAAATTGACAGATCACTTGTTTCACCATTATTGTGCAAGTGGGCTTGCTTGACAGTATCTAACTGAGAAGTGTTGGAGTTACTGGCAGATGATGATAAGATGTGACACAGGGATCTAACAGCTCACTGAAAGGAACATGAAGCATCCAGGCAACAGTTCAAGACACACACAGAAATTTGCAGCAAATCTTGTGCTAAGGAGGGACCTGATCATGGTGCCTTATCCTGGCTGGGGGATGAGGTCTTATAAGGCTTGACCTGATTCATGGCTTGGGTGACAAGGAGGAGGTCTTCATCAATCTTGATCGATCCTCGAATCAGTGTCATCCTATTAAAACTCTTCTTCTATCCGATTGCTGTGTGTTCCTGAGTTGGAGGAGTTGAAGGCTGATGCTTAGTGACAACAGCAATATGTTAATATGCTGCAGAATAGTCAATGCAACAAGACCACCATATGCCTCAAGGCCCCACCACCTCATCTAGATTAGTCCTTGACTAAAGCTTTCTGTGGGCGATGTTGTGTGCCTGAGCTAGAATAGATTTCAGGAACAGTGACTGTTGCCTGAGGGCATTAGAAAGTCTTCTCTGCACAAAACAATACCTGCTCACGTTGAAGTCGTACACTTTTTGATGCTGCAGCTTGCATCATCATCATCACCATTTTCTGCTTTTATCAATCAAGCAAATGGGCTGTTGTTACAAGAAGGGAAGACTGAGATGATTAGTTTGATGTGTCAGGGACATGATTTGGTTGGTCACAGACTTGGGTATCTCCAGCAGACACCAGGACAAGGCTCAGGCTCCTAAGATTCAAAGCTGTTGTACTGCCCGTTATGATTCCCTTAGGACAATGACTTGTACAAGGCTCGAAACTGTGATATGCGAATCATTGCTTATCCACCACAAAGAATGGAATCAACCCCTCAGGACTTGTCATGTAAGCTTCCAATCACTCTCTACATTTAGGTCTCCAGAGTTTACTATACAATCACTACGTTAAGCACTACTAATCTTGACTGGTGATTAAGGGCATGTTGATCTTAAGATGATGCATGGCACTAGGGTTTTGTGATTGTAGTGAGATTGTAAACTTGCTAAATCCGTGATTTTTTCGTAATCGCTATAATTGAAGTTAACAATTAATATGAAATTTACTCATCTTCAAAGATTTGCTTGTTTGTGTGTGTGTGTTGTTTTTTTTTGTATTTAAACATACATCAACATGCAATATATATAATGCAAATGCATTATATATCCTTTCTCTCATGTACATGAGATGTTCTTGGGGTTTATAGTATTAATCATTGGAATGACGAGATACTTCTTCATGGATGACCTCATTTATGTCATAAATTCCATTAATACTTATTGTGACATTCTTAATTACCTTTCACACTCGCTAGTCTGTTTATATAGTTTATATTCCAATTAACAATGCCCTTTTTTTTATTATTGTCAGGCAAATGGTTCAAATTTCCTCTTACGTAAAATGCATTCGGATAAAAGAATCAACACCATTGAGCATGGTTTAATTGGTATTTGTTGTATAAAGGAAATGATGTATTTATCCTCTAAATCATCGTCATCTCACATTAGACAATATTTTTCATCATCATCCTTTATTCATCCATTCTTTTCAGTCTCTTGTCTGGGTGGGTCATCTAACAATAACATGTTCCACCATTTCATTATTCTTTTCAATCGGGCTCCACATCGACGTCATATGGTATACTGACTGATTCAGGCAAGTCAAAATCCATCAATCTGTCAAATGGACACCTCAGCATGTACATTACATTACCTGGGATGAATACACCGAGATTTTTGTGGAGAACTAAACCTGTCTCATTACTTGGATGGCTATGGTAAGCAACTATCTCAATTTATCAGTATTTCTTGTTTACAATGACCACAGAAACATCAAGTATCTGACAAAAGTGATTTGTCCCTGTCATGCTTTTGCACAATAAGATACGGGAAAGTCTACATTTCCTTTTCATCTCGTTCTTGTTGTATCAATCACATAGACTTGAAGCAGATTGGAAACGTTTTGTTTCTGTAACAGTGTAGGTTGGTTGATGGGAAAACGTTTGTTTTCTTTTGTATCTGCACATTATAATGAGTCCATTTCGTGTGCCAATAGAAGGCGCTGCTTCATCTCCCTTCTCGGAGCTTTCTCTGTGCACAGTAAAATATAGCAAGATTTTTGGCGTCCTGAAAAGAAGACGTGTATCGTTTGGACTGTCTTCCTCCCGACGGTGGTGCCTCCTCCACTGTTCGACTGGTACGCTCTATTATATGAGCTTGTCGGAGGGGATGACTGTGAGGAGAAACGACCGATTATTAGTCCACATCATACATGCCTTGCATCTTATCATACCACTGGGTTACAGTAGAGAAGAGATGATAATGATGATGATGTTTGCCTTATTCTACCTATATCAAATGACATTACTTCCTCAGCAAATCTTGCTTCGCATCCATTGTTTTATTTCACTGTTATTATTATTAGAGGGTGATTTTAGTGACTCGAGCTTCACGGCATTTATGTTTTATATATTTATTTACAATACAGTACTTCCTCAGGTTACACGAGCCTCCGTTCATATATATATATATATATATA